GGGGTGCACAGGGATGGGTGTGTGCTGTATCGGGGTGCACAGGGATGGGTGTGTGCTGTGTACTGGGGTGCACAGGGATGGGTGTGCCGTGTACTGTGTTGTACAGTGGGATGTGTGAGGTATTGGGGTGCACAGGGACTGGGCTGTGAGGTATTGGGGTGCACAGAAAGCAGGGTGTGCCATGTATTGTGCACAGGGAGAGGTGTGAGGTATTGGGGTGCACAGTGTATTGGGGTCTATCATGTCTTGGGGTGCACAGTGTATTGGGGTGCATAGGGACAGGTGTGAGGTATTGGGGTGCACAGTGCATTGGGGTGCACAGGGAGCAGGGCGTGATGTATTGGGGTCAGTGTATTGGGGTCTATCATGTATTGGGGTGCAGAGTGTATTGGGGTGCACCAGGATGGGTGTGATGTATTGGGGTGCATAGGGACTGGGGTGTGAGGTACTGGGGTGCACAGGGACTGGGATGTGAGGTATTGGGGTGCACCGGGATGGGTGTGATGTATTGGAGTGCACAGTGTATTGGGGTGCACAGGGCTGGGTGTGATGTATTGGGGTGCACAGTGTATTGGGGTGCACAGGGCTGGGTGTGAGGTACTGGGGTGCAGTGTATTGGGGTCTTTCATGTATTGGGGTGCACAGTGTGTTGGGGTGCACAGGGATAGGTGTGAGGTATTGGGGTGCCCAGTGTATTGGGGTACCCACTGTATTGAGGTCTATCATGTCTGGGGGCACACAGAGAATTGGGGTGCCCAGTGTATTGGGGTGCCCAGTGTACTGGGGTCTCTCATGTGTTGGGGTGCAGTGTATGGGGTGTGATGTATGGGGGTGCCCAGTGTATTGGGGTGCCCAGTGTACTGGGGTCTGTCCTGTCTGGGGGTACACGGAGTATTGGGGTGCCCAAGGACCTGGGCTCCTGGGAAGAGGCTGCACAGGGGGCTGGGGGTGCTGGGGACCCCAAAACTGTGCAGGTGCTGTGTGTGCAGAGCCCTGGGCCCTCAGGGAGCCCCATGGGATGGGCTCTTCAGGAGAAAAACCCTTTTTTGGCACAAGAAGAGGATTTTGAGGGTTTCTGCACTTTGGGTCTTCAAACACGAGAGAAATATGGCTCAGGGGGGGAGTTTTGGGGTAAAACCAGCAAAACCTGGGCCTGGAACATCCCCCCCTTGGCCCAGGGATGGGTTTGGTGATGCTGAACCCAAGGAAAAACCCTGAAAAGCTTTTGATAAAAGGAACTCATTTAATTCAGGAACCAAATGAGCCACTTTGGTCCCGTTCCTCAGAAAAACCCGGGTCCCCAGAGGAGAGGGAGAGTCACCAAAACCTGTCAGTTCACACCAAAAACCAGCACAAAGTTCCACAAATCCCTCTTTTCCCACCTCCATNCAAAACCTGGGCCTGGAACATCCCCCCCTTGGCCCAGGGATGGGTTTGGTGATGCTGAACCCAAGGAAAAACCCTGAAAAGCTTTTGATAAAAGGAACTCATTTAATTCAGGAACCAAACGAGCCACTTTGGTCCCGTTCCTCAGAAAAACCCGGGTCCCCAGAGGAGAGGGAGAGTCACCAAAACCTGTCAGTTCACACCAAAAACCAGCACAAAGTTCCACAAATCCCTCTTTTCCCACCTCCATGAAAAATAAACTCCAGGGATCCCACGGATCTGTGGTCCCACACAAATTCACCTTTGCCAGAATTTACAGCAGCAGGAATAACTGAAGTGGGAATTTGGCAAACAAACATCAATTGAGCCCCTTTTTGGAAACAAATCCAACTGGTTTTTTCCCCCCCCAAAAAAAAATTTGGGGTTGCTGCAGCCACATCCCAGTCCCTAAAAAAAAGAGGTAATTAATGAACAAAAGGGGAGGAGCAGAATTAAATCCCAAGGCACCCGGGAGGCTGAGCTGGTTTGGAACTGAAAGATTAACTAAAAAACAAACAGAAAAAGAAAATAAAACTTCCAAATATAAGTAAAAAACCTGGGATTTGCTGAACCCAGCGAGTCCAAAGGGTTTCTCTTCCCTTTACAGCAACACCTTGTGGGGTCAGAGACACGGTGACACCGATAACCAGGAGCAAAAGTTGTGGGGTTTTTATAATAAAACGAAGCAAAGCCGAGTCTAAACCCCCCTGGTTTGGATTTCCTCGTGTCCAGCTGGGATTTTTTGGATCCTGGAGTGCCCCAGATTGTTGGATCCTTCCAAGTGTTGGATCATCCATGGCTGTGCACGACCCTCACGGGTTTAGTCTGGATCAGTTAAGCTCAGTTTAAGCCGGGCTGTTCAGGTGAGGAGCGGGAAGGAGAATCCTAATCCTGCCTGGAGCTCGTTCCCAGGTGGAATATTCCATGGGATGCCTCGGGAAGGAGTCCACGCAGGAATTCCAGACAATTTCACTGCTCTGTGCCCTAAGCTGAGCTTAAATGATCCGGGTTTAACCCAAAACCGTGGATGTCTCGGAGCAGGGATGGGTCACTCCCCGAAGATCCACAGGATGTTGACTCCCGACAATCCCAGATTGACACGCCTGGAAAACCCAGAGGGGTGGGAATTACCCCACGGGGCTGTTTAATGGTTTAAACCCCATTAATAATCTGATTTAAACCCCACTAATCAGCTGATTTAAACCCCATTAATCAGCTGATTTAAACCCCATTAATTATCTGATTTAAACCCCATTAATAATCTGATTTAAACCCCACTAATCAGCTGATTTAAACCCCATTAATGAGATGATTTAAACCCCACTAATCAGCTGATTTAAACCCCATTAATAATCTGATTTAAACCCCATTAATAATCTGATTTAAGCCCCATTAATAATCTGATTTAAAC